GATGCTTTCAAAACTTTCCTACAACGGCTGACTGATAATTACTCTGCTGTCCTACTGGAAAAAATGCCTATTTGCATTTACATTATTTAAATCTGTCAGTCATTTGCATGTAATAAAACATAACTGTGTTACATCAACACAACTGATGGCCTTTTTAGCAAGAATTGCACCCACCTGACATATTTGAATTATAGCTTTAGTGAGGCCTGAAATTTTGGTACGAACCAGAATACAGCCTGAGCAGAGCAAAATAAAAACTGATAGTGCCACTTACATTTCTGTGTAGTGACCAAAACAATTCCAGATCATGGAATAATAACAACTATACAAAATATTTTGTCTAGACAAATAAATTCATGAATATAAGCGTCCTATTGGCTGGAAGTCTCCTAAATCAATTCACTATTTTATTTTCTGTGCATCTAGTTTCTCACAAGTGTGGACCTCATGGACCTCAGTGTGAAAAATTCTGTCTGCAACAGGAGTGTGATTCTAGCTCTTTCAATGTAATAAAAGTAGGGAGGAAGAATAAAGTAATGTAAAAACTAAAGCAGGGAAAATCCAGGGTAGTGTCTGTTAACATTGGGAGATGGGCTGTGAAAACTCAAATATGAAATTTAAACCGGTCATGTATTCAAGAAATGACGTTCGAACTTAAAATGAGCAGTCAGGTCCCATCGGGTTCAGACAAATATTTCAGGACACTGTACGTGACATAATAAGCAAAACGGCTGTCAGTTGAATACAGTCTGTTGAAATGGTTTTGTTGCCTTTTGTGTTAAAACACTTATTTGTCTTGAGAGAATAGAACCACAATGTAGGTCTTTAGAGTTATCAGTTTTGTGCTTACTGTGGAAAAATCTCTGAGCCTTCCAACTGCTCGTACTTATGAACTCAAGGGGCATTCTTTTCACACAGCTGTCATCACCTAACTAAGAAACTTCAACGGTGATGCCTAAGGCTATATTATGTTCCAGTGGCATTTGAAGTGAACTTGAGTTGGTTTAGGATTTGTTATTTGTGTAATTCCCAGCGGAGTGGACCAGTGCAGGCTCCACCAGTCCTCAAGCATTTGAGGCCCTCCATCATCTGTTATTGACCAGTCATGTCTGATGGAGGAGGATGTGACAGTAGACTCTCAAGGCTGTCAGTCATATGCATCCAAATGTTTGTCATTTCCTTATCCAGCTGGCGTCCTTTCTGATTAATCTGAAGGTGTTAGAGTTGCAGCCTTTGAAAGAAGCAGAGCTTTCTCTTTGTTGAATATATTTGGATTGACTGAGATGTAAGAAAACTTATAATAGCTTTTAAATAACTCTTGGGATGCTTTTTTACACTACAAGTCTCACTACTAGGAATCGTGGAGAACACAGTTTTCTACATAGAAGGGAAGGTTTGAACAAACCAGGGCAAAACAGAAAGAAAGGGTGTCTGTATGCTAATATAACCAAACACAGTGGCTTACCAGAATTTCCTGTTAAATAAATGGTTTGGGCAAAAAGTCAAATTTACACAATTTTCCACTTAACCCCAGATGCAGGAGATCAGCCAAGATACGGTTGGTGTCCAAATGTTACTTTTTTTAGTTTAGGACTGGAGCTACAAAGCTAACATTGCTAACAAACACTGGAAGTCAGATGAAGTGAGAATCTTTTCTGTAAATACATCCCTAAAACTTCTCTTAACACATTCAAGCTGTGTCCAGGTCTTTATCAAGGCCGCGCAGACTTGTTGATGTGGTTTAGGACACAGCTGACTTACTGCAAGCTATAAAAATGAACAAAATCTCACCAGGTAACTGAGCGCAGTCACTTTAGAAAAGAAGTGTTGTGCTGAATGTATTTCAGGTGTTGTGGCATGTATTTATGAAAAAGATGTGGTTGACTGTTGTCTTCTGGTGTTTGTTAGCAATGTTACCAACATTAGCAATGGAACCAAATATGGACACCAAACTAACTGACTGACTAACTGCATACATTGTGCAAATTTGATTTTGCTAAATCATCCCTTTAAATATTTAGTAAGGACAGTTTTCATATGTTCATGGACTTTTACAACATGTTTGTGAAGGTTTGCATTTTTGTGTAGTTTGCATTTCAATAAGAGATTTACTTTTAAGTACTTTCATGGGCAGTGTTATAAAGCCGCTATTACAGAGCCCTTACAGTATTTTGAAAATGCAGGTGCTTGGTTGGCTTCATTTAAAGCATGATCAAAGCATATTCAATTAAAGAATAAAATGATTTTTTTTTTTTGCTTGATTTCTTCTTTTTTTTATCTTTCAAAACGTAGTTGATCTTGTCATTCCTTTATAACTCTGTTACTGAGTTATGATGATTCCTGTAAAAGTGTTTTGCAATTATGTCCACAGGTCCCAGTGCGATCATGGTTCGATGACATGATGGACACAGAGCTGCTGGACCTGCTGCCTCTGTTTGAGGGCCTGAGCAGAGAGGAGGACGTTTACAGTGTGCTACAGAGCCTGAGGGCCAGGTAGCACTGAGACTCGCACTGCCCTCTGCTGTCCCACACACAAACACTCCATCACTACTGGTCAGGCCGAGCCTCCATTCAGCTGTGGCCTCTAGAAGGCACCACTGTGTCACACAGTGGAGGACAAAACTCTTTTCCACCTTGCTAATTTCTGTGGACGGAACTCTGACCTGCCGTCTGATAATTTATTGGACCATTTGCCAACAGGAGTCCCTGGCATGGGAAAAATGTACATAGTGTAAGTTTCTAAATTTGATGCAGAAAAAAATAAACACAAATTAATTTTTGTAATGGAGACATACGAGTTTACTATCCAAAAGCTCTATATATTTACCACAAAAAAAAGAAAAAAAAACACAAAACAATCTATTTTTTTTCCCGGAGGACGTTGAAAAGGTCAACCCTTTGGTTCATGCTATGCAGGCAGACTTTTTTTCGATCACCAGTCGTTCCAACAACTGTGACTTTTCTCTTACCAAATAAAGTGCCTTCTGACTGTTGTTTTTATGAGGATATACGTGACATTTTTATATGCTGCATATTTGCAAAGAACTCAAAACCTTTAAAGAAACATTTACTGTAAACCTGAGTGGATAGGCGAGCCTTTATTTTAAAACTGTTTATTTATGATGAGGACATTTCCGAATGATTTCCAATAGTCTTCACCGATTTAAATGAATTATCACTGGACAAAGACTGATGCCATTATGTTGACTCTTTGGTTCTTTTGGGAGAATAGTATATAAGCATTGTATTGATGGGGAAAAAATAATGATCTATTACCTTATTGCAGTTTGACAAAAAGATGTGTAATGTGAGACTAGCTACTGTTAATCAACACTCCAATACAGTACAATTCGATATGAGTATTTAACATCAAAATAAAAGATGCAGTCAATATCAGAAATGACTCAAAGGCTGTTTTCTGGTAAACCCCCCAGATGTGAGTGGCAAAATCAAAAAGGGCAGTTCTTAGTAGTGTAACAAACACTAAAACTTAAAGGAGACAAGGCAAACAAAACCACGTCATTGCCATTTCACATGTATGTTACTTATCACTGTATCTACCAAGAAGAAAATTTCTGTGAAGAAATTGTGAAACATTTGCTTTAGGATCTAAACATTTGCTTTAGAAACATAATCCAGCCTTCATACTTTCACCATCAGAGCTGCCGTGTCTTTGATGAAAAGGACAGTGTAAAACAGTGATGTAATGTTTGGCAGACTCTTTTTCATTGATGTTAACAGGCTTTCTGTTTGCTAACTGGGCCATATTCTGTCCTCACTAGAGGAAGTTATACATATAGCTAAGCTAACAGGCTCCAGTAATATTCAGAGACAGTTTTAAAGGTTTTGATGGAGTCAACATCCAAACTGCAACATTCAAAGTAAAGAATATGTTACTTGTATGTCTGTTACGAGCTGCAAATATTAACCACTGTTAGCTTGAAGCTAACAATACATTGAAATACCAGTTAACAGGCTAGGGAAAATTAGCATTACTTTAGCAATGGAAAAGTAGGTAAATAAGAGCTACTTGCAAAGTGAATTACAAGGTTTCTGTGTTAAACATTGCTGCGTAATGACTGGCACATGTTCATGATTTAGTGACTGTATGGATCTCAGCATAAACAACATGCCACAGTGACCACACCCTTTACTCCACCTCTTCTACTGATACAGCTGGTGAGAGCAGTGGTCATTAACATACAAAAAACAACCAGAAGATGACCTTTTCTTCACAGAGGAGTAAATGACAGAGTAAAGCATATAAAGTTGTTATTAGGTTGATATTTACGTTATATTTATAGTTGTATGTTATGTATATGTATCTGTTCTTGTTATTCTCGTAATTTCAGCAATCACAGAAAAAGAACTAATGAAAAATGAAAAAAGGGCAATATATGTCTCCTTTAAAAAAAATATGCTTGTTCCCATATTCTCTGTATGTAAACCTGAAGCAGTTTCTGGTTGGGATGTTGAGATTAAATATTTCGTATAAAGAAACACATAAATCCCATAAACCAGTTTTTCTCAGCTCAGTCACCACCACATTAGGCTGCTATAAACTATGGCTTGCTTCCACAAGGTGTTTTCCTAGGTGTGGAATCCCTGTGGAGTCAGAACAGGTTGCCACTCAAACCATACAGCAGTCATTCATATCTGCTGCGGAATGACTGCTGTATGGTTTGAGTAGCAGACCTCTTGTGAAGAACGATTCAAATTTTGCATGAAACATATTAACATAAGAATTACTGGAAGAAAACTGCCAATCACTAACCGTGTGAATTAAGTAAATAAAAAAGTTTTCCCATGTGCCTTATGACGATGTATTCTGAATACACGTTACTGAATACATTTGGGACAGTGTATTCACTACTTTTTGACAGTATTCTGCCCAGCTCTGGTTCTGTGGTGTCTGTGAATGGACAACACTGGAATGAGTTCCTGTGAGTGAAAAGGTTAATAATCAAACTTTCAGTTTCTTGCATGATTTGAGATGAACTTTAAGCCCATCAAGTTCCTAGCAACCACCATGAGATCAGCTGTCTTTATCGAGAAAATGTCAACAGGAATGCAATAGTAATACGTTATTCCCAGCGGTGTTCATGCTTCTGGAGAACAAATCTGAGGTAAGAAAAATCTTGGTTTTTTTTTGTTTTTTTTTCCCAAAGTTGTGATTCATTATGAAGCATCAGGTTTACCACCAGGACTGAAACAAGCAGCACTTCTTCATCATTTTATGTGCTGTAACCTTGCCACTATGTGAACTACCTAGCAAAGAATGTAGTGTTGAATCAGATTTTGTTTCCCACGTTTTCAGTCTTTTTTACTGGCAGTGTGTATTTTTATTTAGTAGTCAGTAAAGCTTTTGTAGACACATTGGTTCATGCACATGTGGAGAGGAGGATTGGAACGGCAATATTAACTTACGAAAATGTTAAAAGGTGTAAGTAGACAGTCTGTCCCATTATACAAACTTTTATTTCCAGATTTTGTAGAAAAATATAGGTTTATAAATATGATTTGGTTGTTATTTAATCATATTGAATATTTGATTATTATTATTAAGTGCTGTCTCCTGGCGACCTAATGAGAATAAGTCATTAATTTGTAATACTAAGTGAATTTTTTGACATTTTGCTTGCAGAAACAGAGGAGGAGTGAAAAAAAACAGACAATTTTCTTTCTTCTAGGTAGCAGGAATGGGCTTCCAATTCTGATGTGCAATCTGCAAGCATAATGCAGCTCAGTAACAAGTTAAATTAATTAAGAAAAATCAATTTTAATGCACGTCTGAGCATTTTCTTTGCTTCGTCGGATAGACAACTGTATATACATCGTCCTTTCTGATTAGATTGATTGTATCTCAAGGACTTTTGGCCGCTGCTGTGTCCATATCGATACAGACCTCACCAAAGGCCACATTTAAGGGTGCACAGATGGGGCTTGTGAGCACACCTATGAACACCGATATGAGAAATGCAACACCTTTAAGAGCCTCATAGTCTTTGTGTGCCTCTGCGTTTGAAGGCCAGAGGACAGGTGCACCAATTGGGACAGAGATCCAAATCCTGTGGCTCTTACCCCTTACCTTACACAGAATTTCTGCATAATTAGATCATTAAGATTTGAACACAGTCATTTAGAGTGGTTTTATATGAAATCCTTCATTCTAGAGAAAATTGGAGTCAGAATTGATCTCAGTGGTGGTGATAGGAACCAGACGTCTAAGAGTTTGTCGTCACTAAAACCTCCCTCACAGAAAATTATTACATAAATTGGTTATGGATATACTGCCTGATGCCTGATATGTTATTTTATGATAGTTTTTGAAAAGCTTTTGGTCTAAGTTTTTTTTTTTTCTTTTTAAAAATACATTCATGGCGGAGAGGTACCTGCAGGGTGTTGTAAGGCAAAATAGTCCCCAAAGAAAACTTCCATTGTGGGTTCACTGGTGGGTTTGCATAGTAAATAAAACGGCTATGTTTGTGTTGTAGACATTAAAACCCCGGTTCCTCTCACCACCACTCTAAAGAAATCTGAGTACGTAATTTTCTGTACAATGAACCATTTCACATCAAACCACTCTGAATGAGTTTGTTAACGTTATGACTACATTATGCAGAAATTTTGAAAAATCAATGGAATTCCCCTTTAGGTGATGCACTGAGCAGTATGGCCCTTTGTGACTATTCAATACTTTTACTTACTGCGCCATGTTGAAGGGTTCTGCACAGTGGCATTCATTTACTGAGCTACTGTCTGAATGGCAGAACACCAGTTGAATCATTTATGTTCTCAGCTATTGCTGTAGACTTCATTTAGTGTGAGATGTTCATGTTTTTGACCGCTTGTCATTGCGTTTGCTTTGAAGCGGAGGATCTTTCATCATTCATTTTCTTGGAGTGGTGTTGCGCTTCTTTTGAACCACATCACAGTCTTTCACAGCGGCTTCTGTACCTTCACCAATCGCTGCTCACCTCAAGATCCACACTTCTAAGGTATATGAAACTGTTGATATTTTATATTATTAGAAATTGTAATTGTGATTGCTTTAATTACTTTTAAGCCCTTAAAATGCAAGGCTTGTAACATACTCAGGCTCATTATAAAGTAACTACAGCGAATCCACTGCAAACTGGCTGAGCTATTCTTAGGTTATAGAAATGTGTAATAAAACTTTTGGCTCGCTGGTAGGCCCTGGCCGTTTAAGGGGTTAATTTTTTTTTTTTTTTTAAGGGCCAAAATCCTACATTTTTTGTATTTTATTATTTTCCCAAGGTCCACTTATAACGTTTGTGTGGTTTTATGTGCCAAAACAGCCTTAATTATTATATATAAGCTCTGATTGGCTGCCCTGAATTGGGTCTCATTCAAAAGCACTTTTTATAATTTAACATGAACAAGCCAGGCTAAACTGTGGTAAGCTGAATAAGTGGTCCTGTGTTAAAGTCTTGATTTTTATGACATCACAAAAGCAATGAATTCAAGGCAGGTTGTGCAATTTAAAGGGGAATCTGACCGATTTCTCAACTATTTTGAAATAATTAATGGGTTAAGATGTAAACAAAGTCATTCAGAGTGGTTTGGTGTGAAATAATCTGTTCTAGAAAGACTTACAGAGTCAGAACTCTTCACAGTGGTGGTGATAGGAACCAGATGTCTGAAGCTCCAAAAGCTCCCTGACAAAAAGCTATTATATGAAATGGTTATGAATATGCTGCCTGATCCTTAGACATTGTTTGTTTTACAGTAGTTCTGTCATAACATTTTGGCCTAAAACATATTTTAAAACATCCATTCATGGTGGGGAGGTTTATGCAGGGCATTCTAAGACAAAATAGTCCCCAGTAAAACTTCTATTTTCCAGATTTACTATTTTACCATCATCATTACATGTAAAAATTCAGAAGTAAGAAGTGGTGGATAGTAAATAAAATTACTGTATTTGTGTTGTAGACATCATGATCCCTGTTTTCTATCACCACCACTGTAAAGAAATCCGAAAAGATTTTCTACAATGAACCATTTCACATCGAACCACTCTGAATGACTTTGTTTACATTTCAACGAATGAATTATGCAAACATGTTGAAAAAAATCTGAAACTCCCCTTTAATTTCTATATATGAACCATATTGACTGGAGTGTGAATGGCATATTCCATCCATCCATCATCTAAACCGCTTATCCTTCTGGGTCGCGGTGGGGTGCTGGAGCCTATCCCAGCTGTCATTGGGCGGAAGGCAGGATACACCCTGGACAGGTCGCCAGTCCATCGCAGGGCAGACAGACAGACATAGACATTCACACCTATGGGCAATTTAGCGTGTCCAATCAGCCTGACTGCACGTCTTTGGACTGTGGGAGGAAACCCACACAGACACGGGGAGAACATGCAAACTCCACACAGAAATGACCCTGGTCACCCGGCCGGGAATCGAACCCAGGCCATTCTTGCTGTGAGGCGACAGCGCTACCCACTGCGCCACCGTGCCGCCCGTGAATGGCATATTTTGAAACTTTAACAATGTTAAATTTTATATACATACTACATCAGTCTCTTTTATCTCCAAAAGCTCAGAAAATGTAGTGATATATGCCCTTAAGTTAAATGAAGACGAGCTGTGTTTGCACACAGACTGCCACTGGAGCATTTGAGCATTTCCGTCTGCCACTAAAGACGAGACTCTAAACTTTAATCAGGCATCATTTTGCCACTCACTGATCAGCATAGAGTCTGATGGGCTGTTTGCTGCAGAAAAGTCTCTGATTTCTATCCAAGAGGCTCCTCGCCCAGTCTGTCCATCTGTTAGCGGAAAAGAGTTTAATGAGAGCCCCTCTCTGGAGCCCCTCAATCACACTCCCTACTGAACTGATCCTGGAGCAGGGAGAGACATCCTTTTTGGCTGTGAGAGGAGTGTGGAGGAGGCCTGGAGACACTGAATTAACTCTCCGTCTGTCTAATTAGCTTATGTAGTAACAGTCAAATGAATACAAGATAATTAAAGGGCCCATGTCAGGGGAAAAAGGAACAAAATTTCCTCTTTTTAAATTTCCTCTTTTTGTTTGATGTACTATGTAAATATTAAAGTTTCAAAACTTGACATTCACTCCCCACATATGGGAATTAAGCTGCACAAACAGTCCATTTAGAATTTTTATGTGATGTCAACACATACATACATACATATTCACCTAGTAAGCCTACCACAGTTTAGCCCTACCCATTCATGTTACAGTTATAAGAACTGCTTTTTGCCTAAAAAACAATGACTGCGTTTACAAACATACTCCAGCATATTCCAATTTATTAGATCGGTGTAAAGTCTACAAATCTGATTAAGAAATCTGATAAAGAGAGCTTAATTTCAGCTCAGTAATCAGATTTCTCAGCACGTGTACTCTTACTCTGATTTCTTTCGGATTTCTCAGTTTGCGCATGTGCAGAAACAGACCGCGGTACCAGAAAAACCAACACTTTTGGAGCGAACTACATGCTTAATGCGTCATAGATGATGTATATTCATATTTTCAGGTAAAGTGGCATAATGTTTAAAAAAAAAAAAAAGCAGCGGCATGAAGTTTGAGTTTTACGTTTCATCTACATTACATCTTCTTCTGTGAGTTTATTACTGCCAGACTCATATAGACCTGGAGATTCCTCATTATCTGATTACACAAATGCATATAAATGCGTTGATCAGATTACTGACAACATCTGCTTTTCTGCAGTTATCAGATTAAGTGCATGTAAAAGCACTCAATGTGTGCCAGCAACTCAGAGCAGACATCATTTTCATGTATCAGTCTGCCAGGCACAGTAACCTCCCCCTGAGGTTTGCTTCTGTTTGTGTGGTTTTATGTGTGAAAAACAGTAAAAACTCACATCCAAACATTTGCACTTGACTATATGTAAACGACATCACAAAAACACTGAACTCAGATGAGCTTAGTTTCTGTGTATGTATTGGTGAGTGAGGTGTTTACATACTACATCAAACTCTTTTTTTCAAAAAAGCAAGGAAAGTTAAATTTTTGGTGATACGGTCCCTTTAATACAATAAAGGAGGATGGAAGCTAAAGTTATAGTCCATATAAAGCCATTTGAGTGAGTAGTGTATGTGCGCAGGTGTGTGCTCACCTGGGTGGAGAGATGGACAGAAACACACCCAGATTTACACACGGAGTCCGAGAGGGAAGCGGCCACTGCAGAGATTTGATCATATAGACATACAGGCAGGGTGAACGGGACAGTATTTGGCTCTGACCGGATTGTAAGGTAAGAGTCACACAATGACAGGTTGATATGAATGATTGGAATTAACTGCATGTTTAACATTCTTAATATAATGTATGTCAATTTCTCTGTCTAATATCTCATTCAAATTATTTAGACCATTGTAAAGGCCCTAAAGTGTGCCGTATACTTTACATTATGCTGTATGCTATTGTCGGTGGTTTGAATGTAGATGTTGAATTGCCTTTACTTAAACTGTCCCCACATTTCCTTTATTTCTATCATTATATCTCTTTATGGTCTACTATTACTACTATTTTGGCTACCTATTTGGGCTACATAAGAAATGGTCTGGCCTTCATGCATTTGAACTGGCACAATGCAAGGGGGCGTTATGAAACTAAGCCATGTAATTCATTAAGCCTTGTGTAAATGCCTGTAAATGGAAGCTATTGTTGAGAGCTGAGTCAATACACACTGCAGGCTAATTGAATAGCAAACCAGTCTTTCCAGACGGAGTGTACACAGAACATCAGAACGTACTCTGCTCTCATTATTCATATGCTGTTCTTGGGAGATGAACCTGTTTGCTTATTAAACCTTAGGTACTGCAGAATTATGCATTTATGGAAACATGACACGTCAGTTAATGGGCTGGAGGGTGATGTTAGCATACAACACTGGCCCACATTTATCAAGCATCTCGGAGTAAGAGCACTGACCCAAGATCAGGCCTCATCAGGTCATGGAATTGTATTCAGTGTTACCTAAAAACACAGAAGCTGATCCTAGGTCAGTATTATTACTCTTAAGAAATGTGATAAATAGGGACCATTGTTGTTATATCAATATTCTACAATAGGTGTGCTTGGTTTTATGCAGTTGCAGCTCCATTTTCTATGCAGTCTGTACTGCAGTAGTTATGGATGTGCAGTATTTGTCTGTAGTTCGATGGTGACACTAGATGCACTTCATTAGCACACAAATAAATAAATAAATAAATAGCACTCCATGCTTTGATTAATCCCGGCTCTGCTGTAGAGTACAGTATAAAAATTTCAGACGTGTTACACTTAAATCTCCCTATACTACAATACCCATTAGTCACACTGTATCAGAGCCCGTGTTTGTTCTGTATGAGTAAGCGCTTTATCTGATGTGGCTTTCAGCTTCATACCAGAGCTGGAATGGTTTAAATTTGGGGTGGTGTCTCTTACATCCTGCTGGAACTGCAGCGTGCCTCTTGCTCCACCTATAGAATCAATCAAACAGTGCTACGAATTTAAATGATTCAAATATGATTCAAATATGTCTTCATGACCTGCCAATATGTTCTGAAATCTATGGGGTTTTTTTTTCTCACCAAAGCCATCAGCTGGTTTCATTCTGCCACATTTTGGACATGGATTGAAGGGGAATTCCACCAATTTTTAAACAATTTCTGCATAATTCAATGATCAAGGTGTACTTCAGAGTGGTTTGAAGTAAATACGTCCTAGTGAGAAAACCTGCCAGCTCATATTTCTTTACAGTAGTGGTAATGAGATCTAGGGGATGCAAATATTAATTTATTAACCACCCAAAACCTCCAGTGAACATACATGTCGAATGTACATGTTTAAGCTGGATCTGGATGTATAAAATACTCTTTCCTCTCTCTACTTGTACTGAAAATGGCTATGAAGTGTCTTGATGTTACTAAAGAATGGAAATAAATTGTCTTCCAACTATTTATGCAAACTATGTGTATTTAATTAAAAGCCGAGAGTAATGTACACTATATGGACAAAAGGATTGGGACACCTACACATCACACCTAGGAACTTTTATGACATCCCAGCCTAAATCCATAGGCATTAATATGGAGTTGGTCCCCTCTTTTCAGCTATAACAGCTTCCACTCTTCTGGGAAGCTTTTTACAAGATTTTGGAGAGTGTCTGTGGGAGTTTTTGACCTTTCATCCAGAAGAGCATTTGTGAGATCAGACACTGATGTTGGACGAGACCTGGCTAGTAATCTCTGTTCTAGTTCGTCCCAAAGGTGTTTGATGGGGTTGAGGTCAGGGCTGTGTGCGGGCCTGTCAAGTTCTTACACACCAAACTTACCCAGCCATGCCTTTATGGACCTTGCTTTGTGCACTGGTGCTCAGTCATGCTGGAACAGGAAAGGGCCTTCCCCAAACTGTTCACACAAAGTTGGAAGCGTATAATTGTCCAAAATGTCTTGGTCTGCTAAAGCATTAAGATTTCACTTCACTGGAACTAAGGGGTCTAGGCCAACCCCTGAAAAACAACCCCATAGCATTATCCCTCCTCCACCAAACTTTACAGTTGGCAAAATGCAGTCAGGCAGGTAAAGTTCTCCTGGCAAACCCACATTTGCCCATCAGACTGTCAGATAGAGAAGGCTGATTTGTCACTCCACAGAATACATTTCCACTGCTCCAGAATCCAGTGGTGGCGTGATCTACACCACTCCATCCTATGCTTGGCATTGTGCCTTTTGATCTTAGGCTTGTGTGTAGCTGCTCAGCCATGGAAACCCATTTCGTGAAGCTACTAATGTGCAGTTCTTTTGCTGATGTTGCTTCCAGAGGCAATATGAAACTCTTTAGGGATTCAACAGAAAATAGGCACTGTGCGTTTCAGCACTCAGCAGCCCCACTCTGTGAGTTTGTGTGGTCTACCGCTTCGTGGCTAAGCTGTTGTTGCTCCAAGGTGCTTCCATTTCACAATAGCACTTACAGTTGACAGGGGCAGATCTAGCAGGACAGAAATTTCACAAACTGACTTGTGACGTAGGTGGCATCCTATGACAGTGCCATGTTTAAAGTCACTGAGCTCATCAGTACGACCCGTTCTACTGCCAGTGTTTGTCAATCAAGCCTGCAAGGCTGTGTGCTTTATTTTATCCATTTATTTTATATTTATTTATAATTCGGAGGGGTGTCACACTACTTTTGTCCATGTAGTGTATGTATGTCTTAATGCATGTGTCTATCTATCTATCTATCTATCTATCTATCTATCTATCTATTTACAGCAGGATGAGTGAGAGAGCTCTAGACGCGTTCAAAGGCATCAGCTACAAGCCTGGCCTCCAAATATGGACCATCAATGTGAGAGAAACACCATCAGTGTTATGTTTTTGGATGCATTTATGCTACGCTCTAATAAATATGTCAATAATAGGTCCCTTAATGTTTCTTGGCCGAATGTTCTAGAAAAAACCTTTCATTTGTATAGAACAGTATTTTCTAGGCTTGGTCCCACTGCCCTGCACACTTAAGTGCTCTGTTTGCTTTATCACCCCCACTTCAACTCAGTGAGGTGTTGTTAATAGAAATGGTGGTTCTTCACACTTTACAAACGGTCTGCTGAAAGGTTATTTAGAGAACCAAAAATGACTTTTAATACATAGAACCTTCAGGGATGGGGTTACAAACACTGAGCAGATCATTCGATGATGACATGTCATTTTCTCATGCTTAGCTTGCTTTGCCTGTATAATCGTGTCTCTGTTTTGCTTAATAAGAATATGAAAATGGTTCCTGTGCCGGAGCAAGCCTTCGGGAATTTCTTTGAAGGAGACTGCTACATTGTTCTCCACGTGAGTAAGCCTAAGACACGTCACACTATGGGTTTCCTTAGAAGCTCTTCTGCTGTGAGACAGGGCTTGCTGAAGGCTCAGAGCTGTAGCGCTGAAATGTCAAGATTAATGACCATCAAAACAGCTCAGCTTGGTTGGCTTTGGCACTCCCTCTGAACATTCCAATTACAGACAGTGTGTCTCGCTCCGTGCTTTTATATCTCAGGTTCTTATCTGACTCATGTGTGCCAGGGGTGTAAAAATGTATCTGAAGGTGGTGATTCAGCTGCATCGATTTCAGAATGTTCAAATCAATTGTATTTGCAAAATTGTCAATCACAATCGTCTCGAAACATTTCTTCCTCCATTATTCTAAGATAAAACTTCTACAGAAACTTGCTAAACAAACCTGCAGTAAGAATGACAGTGGCAGTAAATAGGTGAAAAAGATTTGTCTAAAAAATGGTGAAAAGGTGTGAAGAACGCATCTCTAGCTTCTCTTTTTTCTAAGCTTAACTACTGAAAGCTTGACAAACCAGTCAGTTTAAACAAGACTGTAACATTACAGCACTCACATTTAAGATGAAAACATTAATGCATTTATATGCATGTGTATACTCAGAATATATATATATATATATATATATATATATATATATATATATATATATATATATGTATATATATATATATATATATATATATATATATATATATATATATATATATGGACTATGGACTACATATTTTCGCATACAAGAATCAGGCATAGGCACCATTGGTCTGCTAAGTTAGCTAGTGTTAGCTCTCCAAATGAGTGATGATGTCTTTGTGCCTGTTTAACTGTTTGGAATCAAGATTTTTGTGAGAAACAGACTCTTAGAATCGACTCCATCGATTCCCATCACTTGGAATCGAAATTGGAGTCGACTCCAAAACATCTGAAATCAAATAGTGTTGAATATTAAAGTGCTTCAATTAAAATAAGCAAATTTTAAAGCTTAGTAGTTTTTAAAATCATATTGTTTTCCAATATGTTAAGACAGTAATTGTGTAAAAAATGTATTCTCTGTGTTATTTTCACTTAGAAAATCAACAAAACACATGTCATTTGACTGGCGGGTGTTGAACCTTTGCAAATGACTGCACATGTGTGTGTTTGTGACTCAGGGAAGCCATGACTCCTCTCACTCCATGGACATCCATTACTGGATAGGAAATGACTCCTCTCAGGACGAGCAGGGCGCAGCGGCCATCTACGTGACCCAGCTGGACGAGTATTTGGGCGGCAGCCCCGTGCAGCACCGGGAGGTACAGGGCTGCGAGTCACAGAAGTTCAAAGGCTACTTCAAAAACGGCATCATGTGAGTGGAAGGGCTCATTCAGAGGAGATAATAGAGGTCGGTAGAGTGGATTCGAAACTGTTTACCCATCCACCTTCTCCATTTCATCCACAGATACAAGAAAGGCGGAGTTGCATCAGGGTTCAAACACATTGAGACCAACATATATAACATCCTGCGCCTGCTGCATGTCAAAGGGAGGAAGAATGTCACTGCCACAGAGGTTAATGATGCCACTGTTAAAGGAGACCTATTACACTCATTTTCAGTGTTCAGTGATTCAATGTCTTGGCTGATCATTTGATTTTTGGCCAAACTATTACTTTAATCCAAAGTTCTGTTTGAGAATACTGTGTCATTAACTACTGTCATTTAGTCACAATTTTAATTAATTAGCCAGTGTATCTGCTGGGGTAACTGAATGATATGACTGTATGAGGTCAGCCTGATTCTATTTGGCTGTCTGTAGGTGGAGGTGTCCTGGAAGAGCTTTAACACCGGGGACGTTTTCCTGCTGGACATGGGAAAGACAATTGTGCAGTGGAACGGCCCTCAGAGCAACAGGAGGGAGAGATTAAAGGCAAACTGAGCTTCATATCAACTCTTGGTTCATTCAAATAGAACCTTATGTGAATTGATATGAATCAGCATGCAATTAACACGTTTCTGTCCATTCGTCAATCTATGAGAGGAAAGTCTATGAGAGATTTATTGTGGAAGTACATGGGAGATTAATATGCAAGTCTATGGGAGGGAGATTTATTATAGACTTCTATGGAAGATTTGTTTATTATGTAAGTCTATGAGAGATTCATCATGCAAGCCTATGGGATGTTTGTGGTGAGGGTCTATAGATTTCACATGGAAATCAATGAGGGGGTTGTCATTTGAGTCTATGGGGGATTTATGGTAGAAGTCCTTGGGATATTTATTGTAGGATTCTATGGAAGGTTTGTTTATTATGCCTATTTGTTTATGAAGTCTATGTGTGGTTCTTGTGGGATTTTATTGAAGATTTACAGTAGAGGTCTATGGGGGATTTAACCCCTTAGCAGGCCATTTTGTCACACACTTCTATAACCTAAGAATAGCTCAAGTAGTTTGCATTGAAGTCCTTGTAGTTACTGATTAATAAGTCTTTGTATATAATAAGCCTGGGATTTTAAGGGGTTAACATGGAAGTCTGTGGGATATTTACTATGCACGTCTATAGGAGGTTTACTGTGGGAATCAATGGGAGATTTATCATGGAAGTCTAGTCAAGGTTTATCAGTGGACTCTATGAAGGAGCCATCATGGAAGTCTTTGGGAGATTTATTGTGGAAGTCTATAGGAAAGTTTACATGGAGGTCTAGGGGGCATTTATGGAAGATAATGGGATATTTAATGTTTTGTTATGTTTGCTCCTCTCTCCTCTGTGCAGGGATGTATGTTGGCTCAGGACATCAGGGACAGAGAGCGAGGAGGACGAGCACAGATTGGAGTGGTGGAGGGGGACAGAGAAGAAGCCTCCCCTGAACTGATGAAGATGATGATATCTGTGCTGGGTCAGAGAACTGGGGCACTGAGAGATGCTGTACCTGATGACACGCCAGACCAGTTGCAGATTGCCAATGTCAAGCTCTACCAGTAAGTACTGTTGCATACACAGTGATAAGTGATTGTTAAATCCTTAACTTTTTAACATTCAATTCAATTGAATTCCTGCATTATATTTGAGTTAATATACTTGGTAAATCCTTGCTTTCTTGCTGTGCTTTGTCCTTGCTTCCCTAATTCAGTCAAACATTGTACATTTATACCTAATTGCTTGTTATTATCTTCACAGAGTTTCAGATGCCAGTGGTCAGCTCATGGTGCAAGAGGTGGCCTCCAATCCACTGACCCAAGACCTGCTGCATTCTGAGGTTGGCAAAATTTGCTCTCTGTCACATTCACATGCTGTTTTGTGTGCTGCTAACTCTTAGACTTCTGTCTGTCTGTCTGTCTGTCTGTCTCTCTCAATTTCGTGCTCTCTCTCTCAGGACTGCTACATTGTGGATGTGGGAGGTGTGTCTTTGTCAGTGTGGAAAGGAAAGAAGGCAACGCTACAAGAGAGGCGTTCAGCTATGGAACGAGCAGTGGTAAGTGTCTCAATGACCTGTGAAGTCATAAGAAAATTAATGACTTGGTCCATGTCTAAGGCCCAATCCCATTTCTTATTTTTACCCCTGCCCCTTGTTTTCGGGTGTCACCTTGCCCCTTGGAATTGAGTGGTTGAAATCTTCCCCTACGAAATGGGACAACCCTCAAATAAAGAAAGTAACCCTGCCAGTGATAGAAGCAGGAAAGTTCAGCAACCTCGCTGCCGATCTTTAGTTAAATTTAGGGAATCGTATGCCTTCAAATAGGGGAAGACGCATTATTTATTATTGCCCACTCATACTTCTTCAGCGATATAAAGCTGAAGTCGGCTATTTGCCAGCTTTATGTTCGAATTTTCCCACTCCACCTTAAATGGTGCTGCAGTTACTTTCTGGCACCTTAGGCTTCACAGCTGCTGCACCATTTAAGGTGGAACGGGAAATTAGCTAGTTAGCTACCAAGACATTGGCATACCACTAGCGATTTTTGTGCTTGTTATGAAGAAAAGGAACTTAATACATTGAAACGGCATAAAATTAAGATAACACAATCATCATCATCATCATCATCGTTAACCGCTTAGTCCAGATCGCGGTAAGATAACACAATGACTATTGTAATTTTTTTTAACAGAGAAAATACTTACATTTGTGGGTTTCTTTGGTTGCTCGCACAGCCATCTTGACAGTTTTTCTTTTTTTCAACACTGTTTGGATTGTGCCTCTGAAAAATCTCCATTTGGAGGGCCATGTTGCCCTAACACTTTGCCCTACCCCTCTATCTCAACAAAAAATCAGGACACCCTACCCCTAGTCGTGAACGCACAAACCGGAGGGGTAAGGGCTAAGTAGAAAGGGGTGAAATGGGATTGGACCCTAACCCTAACCCTATCTTGGAAAAACAGATTTCCCTAGCTTTTTTTGTAACAAGAGTTTGATGTATGTACTATATAAACAAAGCCATTTGTTCCTCAGTCCACATATAGAAACTACAATGCAAAAACATCCAGTTCTGAATTCATCACGGATGTGATGTTACACATTTACACATGACCGCTCATTCAACCTACAGCAGTTTAGCCCCGCCCATTCAAGTTGAAGTGATGTAAGAGTGTTGTTCCTGCAGACTGTCTGTAGCAGAGCTATTGGAGTGGAAGATGTGGAGAAAACAAAGAAGCGATTAAATGCTGTGCTGTTTCTGGCTATTGGGAAGCAATACAGCCTTGAGGATTTCAGACTAAACTAAAAGACCCCCTGTACTCAAAAATGCGATTTTTAAACACTTAACTCCACTTGGATGGCTTGTGAATGTTTGGAATGTTTGGAAGGCTGTTAGGTAAAATACATAAGTAATGTTATTTTATGGTATTTGATGGTAGGTGACATATTTAAAATGATTAAGGTGTCTTATATTCCACATCTATCTAATAAACTGTCAAATGTAGAGCTGTTCTAGTAGCATGCTACAGCATCCCATATCACAGCACAGGTTCATTCTGGCTCACTGAAGTTTCTTTGATAGAAGTTTTGAGGATTATGACTTAAATCTGAGCGATCAAACTTGTGTTTTTGTTTGTAGACCTGTTAACCCCTTAAAAGGTCAGGGACCACCAGCAGGCCCAAAGTTTTGTTACACACTTATATACCCTAAGAATAGCTCAACCAGTTTGCATTGGAGTTCCTGTAGTTACTGAGTAGCAAGACTTTTTTAGGCGTTAAGCTACATTTAATTCATATACTCGTTAGCAGTAGAGGTTAACATTAGCTTAGCGAAAAGGCTAAACCACCAGCATTTCTGCCTTGTCTCATAAAACATAGAGATGCGTGCGTGCATAAAGTTAAATGATAACTTAATGGGTACTTTAACATTTTGTACATTTCAACTTGCTTTTTGAGTAGCGGACCCAGTCAGAACAGAGGTCATTTATTAATTCTAAGAGATAAAGAGAGGTATTTGGTAAATAAACCCACATTCTAGGAAAAAATACAAATTACAAGGAAAAAAGGCAGAATATGAATATGTTGATGCTTTATGCAGTCATATAAAATTGACTACAGTCTTTTCAACTGCTCTCCTTTAGGGCTTCATAAAGGCCAAGAACTATCCCCCTACAACTCACGTAGAAGTGATGAGTGAAGGTGGAGAGTCTGCCTTATTTAAGCAGCTTTTCAAGTCCTGGACAGAGCCAGGCCTAACGCAGGGTCTGGGGACCACCTACACCAGGGGAAGGATAGGTAACCACACCCTTCACCGTATTATACAGCAGATGATAGCTTGTGTTAGCTTATACAGAACTGTGCAAACGTCAGAGACCACCCTTCATTATTAATTTCCAGTCAAGATAGATTATCAGATATGTAATAATCCACTTTTATAAGGAAGAAGAAAGTCAAAGGAAAATCCTAACAACTCCTAACAACCGTGCAAGACCTGGTAGACCGCCAAAACGGTCACCATCAGATGAACAGCAATTAAAGCGTTCATCTTTGACAGAGAGGAGAAAATCAAGCTCCACTCTTACTTCCACTGTGAGAAGACAACTCAACACTATGAGTCTGAAAGAATGTGTAGCTGTCAAGAAGCCCTTACTAAGAAAAGGAAAGTGATATTATATTTAGATGTTGTGGCTTCTGTGTAATTGTCTGTTAAATGTACATTTCCTGTTTTTTTTTCCACTGATGCTGAAAATTGAATAACATACTTAATAGCCATTTGAACTGAAAATCATATTGATGATGCGTCGTCTCTGACATTTGTACTATACTCTATGCTAACATAATTTGTTTAATATTAAAATGGTACAATGTTGCTTTGTTGCACAGCAACAATCCAATTAAAGCTAAAACTATATTATAAATAAATATAATTAAATAAATATCATTAAATAAAAACTAAAGGGGCTGTATGCCATCCTGTACGTTATAAGCATTAAGGTCATAAATATGACATGTTAGCTGTGTGATAATTTTACTTGCATGTCCTACAGCCAAAGTGGACCAGGTGAAGTTTGATGTCTTGGAGCTTCATGCTGAACCTAAACTGGCCGCACAGGAGCGCATGGTGGATGATGCATCTGGAGAAGTTCAGGTGTGGAGACTTCCAATGCTGCCACTGTCACGCATACAGTATACAAACATGGACACAGGCAACACTGAAAAGAGCTGTTTGTAAATGCTTTGTAACTGCGTACTCTCTTGTGTTTGTTGCCTTTTGCCCAGATCTGGCGAATAGAGAACTTAGAGCTTCAGGAAGTGCCACGCAGCACCTATGGACAGTTTTATGGAGGAGACTGTTATCTAGTGCTGTACACCTACAACAGAGCCAACAAACCAGAGTACATCCTCTACATGTGGCTGGTGAGAAAAGTGATGCTAACCTAATATGTCAACAGACAATATTAACTTTTGGTTTATATGGACAACAGAATTTTAAATACTTACAACAGAATTTTCTATGGCTGGATGTGTTTGACAGATTTTCAAACAAACATCCCATGTGATTCAATTTAAATGCTTATTAAGTGGAATTCAGGGCTGTTTATGTAGTTCATTTTACATAATTTTGAATTTAGCATCATTCATTTCCACTTAAACTCATGTTGTCTAGGGTCGCCATGCCACCCAGGATGAGATAACTGCATGTGCGTACCAGGCGGTGAATTTAGACAACAGATACAACGGCGCTCCAGTTCAGGTCAGAGTGACCATGGGGAAAGAGCCACGCCACTTCCTGGCCATCTTTAAGGGCAGACTGATCATCTATGAGGTAAAACTCTCCTCATCTATATTCTACTGCAGTCACGTAATATTGTGTGTAAATATATATATAGGGTTGGGCGAAACGAGCATATGTTATTATTATCATTATAATTATCTTGATATATGATGGGTAGCATCATTCTTCTAGGACACTGAACAACTTCATGTATAATAGAAAAAGATTTGGACTAATTACATAGTCTGTAAACCACAACAAACAGAGCCTGTGACTCTGTAAACTGCATATTTACAAGCAACTGATTGGATGTCAGCCCATTATGATACCATCTTATTTTTCTGTTTATTTCTACCCATTGTTTGTTTTTTCCTACCGTTTCTTCTTGAATATTTTAAATTAAGTATGTGTAATTAAAAAGTCATATTCACAGTCTTTCTTAGTCCTTTTAGATGCAAAGCACTTCATGGAAATGGCTTGTCGCTCACTATGGCATCTCACTATGTGTTCTTCTTTAAATGCTGTACTGCTGTTTTCAGGATATGTGTTGTGTATCATTAAAACGCTTTGTTATATTTTTGCCACATCAACCGTCCTTATGTAGATATGCCTTTATAGTGCAATTTACTACTTGTATATTTGGAAATAATCGTTAGAATTAATGTAGATTTTTTATTATGATTGCTAAAATATTAAGCATTTAAAGCCTCCTTTCATCATGCACAATGCCTGCAATCACTGAGTATTGGGCTCTTGTCAATTCTGCAGCAATACTCCACCAAATCCAGATATCAGTGCAGCTGAGACATCTCCACACTGTCATTGCTATATCTGCTGACTTTCTGTATTATATGAATGAATGGTGGTCAAATAGAAAACCTTTTTTTGACCTTTTTGTTTTTTCTTGTTACATTTTCTTAATTCCATGTTGTCCTCCTGAAGGGTGGTACGGGAAAACCTGGTGTAGTGAACCCTGATACTGGTGCCAAGCTTTTCCAGGTCAGAGGAACCAATGAAATAAACACCAAAGCCACAGAAGTGCCCGCCAGAGCCTCTTCTCTCAACTCCAACGACGTCTTTCTGCTCAAAACTGACCTGGTCACTTACATGTGGTATGGCAAGGTAAGTCTGAACATGCTTCATTCAGTTTTCTTCATTTGAGTGTGGTCATTTAACATGAATGATCTGAAGGTGATGATTCAATTCCAAAGATTTTGCAATGTTAGTATATTTATGAATGATTATAATATTATTCAACATAGTATGCCTTCATTTTTCAGCCAAAATAAAATTGTCATACTGTTTTCTGCTGTAAAAATCACCAGATAAAAAGCAGATGTTTTATACTTTGTAAATATCATGAAATCTTGTGATAAATCATTTCTTAAATAACTATAATCATTGTGAGGTCACAGGTTTATACCTCTATTCTGTAAACGCAGTGAACAGTACATGACTGCTGTTTTTGTGTAGTGTTTATTTTGGCTGTTCACTGCTCACAGGGTTGCAGTGGTGATGAGCGTGAGATGGGGAAGGTTGTAGGTGATGTGCTCTCGAAGCAGGATAAGCAGATAGTGATGGAGGGGCAGGAGCCGCCTCAGTTCTGGGTGGCTTTGGGTGGGAGAGCACCATATGCCAGCGACAAGAGGTACTAATTGCTTAAAAATATCAGCGTTGGTCAGATGTTTAGATTTGATCGCTGGGCAACTGTGGTACAGTGTTTGCATTTTGTTTATTTTATTGCTTTGGTAACCCTACAGCCACAATAGTTACATTTCTCTGGAATACTAATCCAGGGAGATGTAGTCCCAATTTCTACATTTTATAAATGTTTACATTTGTTTACATAGTTATGTATCGGCATCATCTGACATGTACGTGAAAAATACTGAGTATTGACATCAGCCCACCTCACCATCTCATTAAATACACAATCTGAGACATTCCACCTGTGGCTTTTTGTCCAGTCCTAAGGGTTCAAAAACACATGCGGAGAGTATTAAAAATATCCATTTTTTTAACTATTGTCTTATTGACCCACTTTTTCCTGTGGTGGAAATCGAATGCAAAGGTTTGGGCACCTTTGGTTTAAGTACCTGTTTTGTTCATTTTCTCAGTGAAAATAAATTAACACATCCTCTATAGCGACACACTTTCTATCTGTTTACTGAGTTTAACATATTTGAGAAAATGAAACATAAAATGTTAGTTCTGCACAGGCCTTGTTTATTGTATATTTTTTTTTCCAAATATGTTAAATAAGAGGGTGTGTAATCTTATGTTCACTGAGAAAATCAACAAAACAGGTCATTTAACCAGAGGCGCCCAAACCTTTGCATATGACTGGATACATATTCAAAGAAACCTTACTAAAAAAAATTGGGACAAGAAGACAATTAAACTGAAAAAAAGGATATTTTTAATACTCATTTGCATTATTGGTATAATTAGTATATTTACACGTCTTATTTGATGCATACTATTAAAAAAAATAAAAAAAATAATGAAAAGCCATTTTAAAGATGTGTTATTCAGTAATAACAATGTAGACTGAAATGTTATAAACTGTACAACAAAAGGTAAACCGATGGTATAGTTACAATTTAAAGTATTTTGGGAAAACAAGTTATAACTAGTAACTGTTATTAAATAATAAACTGTACTTATCTATTTATGCTGTTTTTTGACACCAGTGATAAGCTATGTGAATAACAAGATGAGGTCACTGTTTCCAGAATATGATTGAATATTCAGAATTTCAGAATATTCTTGATACTGGATTGATTTAGGCTTTTTACAGCTTCACAAATTGTCTCCACCAGGCTGGAGAAGGAGGTACCACTGCACAGTCCACGCCTCTTCGAATGCTCCAATCAGACAGGCCAGTTCCGTATGACTGAGGTGGCCCAGTTCACCCAGGATGATCTGGACGAGGATGATGTCATGCTGCTGGACACCTGGGAGGAGGTCAGTCAATGGGAAACCACATTCTTCTCTCACTTTGCATGTGGCTACAAGGCTTTGTGTCAGATACACAGAAGGACAGACCTTATGTTACATTTTTTTTCCATACACTGGTGGTTAAGCAGAGTGTTAGACAAAATGCCACTTTTCATCGCTCGTTTTCCACCCACAGTCCAGTTTACTTACTTTTCCTTCATTTCTTTCTTTCGTCATCCTTTGTAAATTAATTTAGTAAATCATTTTAACAGCAACATCATAAATAAAGATGGTTATATAGCTGTAACCAATCTAGCATAGTGTCAGCAACGTTTTCAACAAAATCAGTTTATATTATGCCTAGTCATTCATTTTTTCTCTCAACTGTTTGTAATATATAATAATATCTTGATTTAGTTTCCAAAATAAAAGGCTAAAAATCTGTTTGAGGAGAATAAGAACTAGTTAGACTCTGTATACAGAAAAAAAATCTGGGTGATGGGTATTACTTGGGTGGTGGGTCATTCTCAGTACTGCAGTGACACTGAGGTGGTGGTGGTGTGTTAGTGTGTGTTGTACTGGTATGAGTGGATCAGACACAGCATTGCTGCTGGAGTTTTTAAACACTGTGTCCACTCACTGTCCACTCTATTAGACACTCCTACCTTGTTGGTTCACCTTGTAGATGTAAAGTCAGAGACAGTAGCTCATCTGTTGCTCCACAGTTTGTGTTGGTCATCCTCTAGTCCTTCATCAGTGGTCACAGGACGCTGCCCACAGGACGCTGTTGGCTGGATATTTCTGGTTGATGGACTATTCTCAGTCCAGCAGTGACACTGAGTTGTTTAAAAACTCCAGCAGCACTGCTGTGTCTGATCCCCTCGTACCAGTGCAACACACACTAACACACCACCACCACGTTAGTGTCACTGCAGTCATGAGAACGATCCACTGAAAAACGTATCTGCTCTGTGGTGGTCCTGTGGGGGGTCCTGATCATTGAAGAACAGGGTAAAAGGGGGCTAACAAAGTGTGCAGAGAAAACAGATGGACGCCTATATGGTAAGCAGAGCTGATAAAATGGACAATGGGTGTAGAAACAAGGAGGTGGTCTTAATGCTATGATCGGTGTAAATAAATGCTTTGTCTGATTTATGTGGCACGTATTTCCCTTCTTTTTTGTTGATGCCAGTTGTGTAGTTGTGTTTGAAATAGTTTTGCAATGTTGTTAATATTGTGAAGTTTAAATTAATTCATGAGCACAAATCTTTAATCCTGCCTATCGCTGAGCAGATTCTCCTTCTTGTTGTACAACCTGTTCTAATAAATCAATTTGGAAGCAGATTGTCCAAAATCCAATTTCAGATATTATTTACTAAACATATGCTATCAGAATATAAATGTCAGTAAATATATCAGAGGTATGGACGCCACCCTTATTTTCATGTTGAGGAAACACAATTGAGGCAACATGGAGTGGAAACATGAGGCTATCAGAACACACCCTGCTGACAAAAAAGACTAAAAATGTTAGCATCACTAGGATTAAAACCTGAATGTTTTACTTTCTAATGGGAATTGGCTGAATGAATACCATTAGAGACTACTAGTTTTCCTGTAGAACACATTTAGATTCCTTTTGGAAACCAAATGAGATATCAACCCATCAGGAAATGCAATATATTAGTAACACCAGGAACCAACAGACACTTTTAGCGGTTTCAATGAATAGAGTTATTTCCTAGATAATATCAATGTGGTAATATAAGACCCTTGGACATTACAAAGACAGGACTTACTAAAAATGGGCAAAATTCAGGCTTCAGGATGGCTGCTACTACTATTTGTAGCTTTGCAAATTACTTTGGTTGATGTTTTGAGGTAACTGTAATTGTAATAAGTGGGGAATCATCTAAATGTGTGTAAATGTTAAGGCCTTACTGGCAGATCTTGAGTGAGCTCAGTGCATGTGTTCCTCTTGTTACACTCAGCTCTTCCTGTGGATTGGCAACTCTGCCAACCAGTATGAGACTCAGGAGGCATACACCAGCGCTGTGCAGTACTTGAAGACCCACCCAGCTGGTCGGGACCCTGAGACGCCAATCATCTCTGTTAAACAGGGCTATGAGCCCCCGACCTTCACAGGATGGTTCAACGCCTGGGACTCTCACAAGTGGAGTGTGAGTGGGTGAAATGGGCACTAGAGGGCGCCAGTATCTAGTTATTACACATCATGCAGTGAAATGGGTTCCCAATGCTAGTTCTGGGACCCTCACACTATGCATATTTTGTATATCCCTCATCATGCACACCTGATCCAACTCATTAACTAGTTAAGGTCAACAGGACTGACTGTTTTATGTTATCAAAAAAAAAAAAACAATTAACACATAGCAGAATAACTGTGTGTTTTCCAGGGAGGGTTATCATATGAAGAGATGAAGAGTAAACTGGGTGACTCAGCATCTGCTACACAGATCACTATGGTATGCGGTCCATTCATTTATTTGATGCAATGAATACCTTATGAACCTTCATGTATCTGTTAATTGACAGATTCAGTCCGTGTGTTTGAGTACTGGGTTGGACACCGGCCCACCGGCCAGAGTTGTGCACCCCTGTTTTAATCTCTAAGGGTCTGTATGTGGATGTCCACTTCAATTCCTCACTCTCAGAATTACACATTAGTTACACAGTAGTTACACAGTAGTTACTAATTCATGCTAGTTACTGAATGATAAAACTCAAGATTTATAACTAAATATTAAGTCTAGGTTTCAAGGAGTTATCAGAACTTAGTAAATGTGCATACATAGAAGCATTCAAGCTGTTTTAACCCCTTAAATTCTCAGGCTTGTTACATCTTGAAGCTTAGTATTCAGTAACTTAACGCAAAACAGTGCAAACTGGCTGAGTTATTCTTAAATTATAGGAGTAAGGACTGGAAGCCTGGGTCCACTGATGGGTCCTGGTCATTTGAGGGGTTATTACTAATCTCCTAGCCATATCGCCCTGCATCTGCTTCACAATGACTGAATCTCTCCAAACTCCTTGCAGAACCTGAATAACACAGCTTTGAGCAGGATGTCGGTGGGTGGTGACGGAATCGATGGTGCCCCTGGTGGACCCTTTGGTGAAAACTCCCCCCAGAGCTTCAAACCCCAAACCCCTCAGAGCCCCTCCAACATGCGTATAGAAGTCTCTCCGTTCAAACCTACAAGCTCTGGCACACTGAGTCCTGAGTTTCTGCTTAATAAGAGTCCAAAGGAGCTGCCTCAGGGAGTGGACCCCAACAAACGAGAGGTGAGAACTGACAGAAGTGTTTTATAGTGGATTATATTGTCTACACATCAGTGCAATTATTGCAAAAAGTGAGTACTGAAGACTGAAATTATGTTGATGCTGAATATTTTTATTTTTGTGGAAATAATAAACACATTTGAATTAAGTCAATTCAGTATATGACCTTTTTCAGTGTAGAGAACAGTGAGTGCAAAACTAATATAGTTTTCAAGCACAACGTATCTGTAATACAGGCCGAACTATTCTCTTCATCATTCATTCTTTTTTTTTTTTTCTTCCTTCATCTTTTCTGTGTTTCTTGTCTGTTTGTTTCAGGAGTATTTGACTGACGCTGACTTTGAAAGCCTCCTCGGCTGCTCCAGGAAAGATTTTCCAGCGCTTACCAAAGTGGCGCCAGAGCGACCTCAAAAAGAAAGCAGGGCTTTTCTGAGAAAAAATAAGAAATGTTTTTCCTAATGAGTTACTAGGCTTTAAATATATAAATAGAAAACAGAAAAAGACCAAAAATGCTACAAAAGTGCTGCGTGATCTGACAGAGACTTGAAATATGCTTCCTGTGGCATCAAATCAATATTGCTTTTAATCAGAATATTTGTAGAAATGCTCTCTTAGCACTGCAGCAGCTCTGATGCAGTTCTGCTAGAAAATACATGTTTACTGTTACATAGATAGGCTGCAATGCAAACTGATTCATACTTTACAGAGATTTCCAAGAGTGAAATGATGTGCAGCACGTAGAAAATCAACAAAACTTACATTGTTGTACAAAGTCTATCCTCCAAAAGTTTGTTTCGGACTTCTGAACAGTGATTTCAATGTTTTCAATGACATAACTTTCATTTGGTTCTACCTATTGGATTATATATCGCTGCTGTTGGAACAAAACCTTGTATATCAATTTTTGTCATTTTTCAGTTTTTTACATAATTTGAAAATGCCTGTCGCTTTATGTGTAATGTGAGTTTCATGATGAATGGACCAAAAGAAACGGCCCAAAATGACTTAGAAAAAAGTCTGGTTCCATTGACTTACATGAAAACTAAAGTAGGTTTTTTCCTTCTCCTGTAAAGTTATCATTTTGGAGATACAAGGTTTTGTTCTGACAGCAGCGATGTGAAATAATTCTAATATTAATATCCAGAATGATGATGTAATGACTATCCAGGATTAAGTTCTAATAAAATTTACATAAAGTTCTAAAAAAAAAAAACATCTACAAACATCTTTTGTTGTGCCATTTATATTATTTAAAATATTTTATTATACGGTTACAAACCTTTGAACCTTTTTTTCCTGATGTTTATCTGTGTAATTTTGTCTACATTGCACCATATTTTACTTTTGGAAAGCTGGTGGCTTTAAATACAATATTACACAAAGGACTGCTGTATGCCTCATTTATGGATATGGTATGAATACATTAGTAAGCCACTATGAGTAGTGATTATGGCTGTCATTGCTGTGATCGATGATTAATGTAATAATGATCTTGCTGTACCACTACAATCTGTAATGTGTTAAGTGATATTTTTATTGATTGCAGTGCCAAATGTTAATTATTAATAAAACAAAACTTAAAATCCTTCCTAAGTTTAATTCTGTTGCTTTATCAATATTAGCAGGAATGTTACAGGATATTTAATTTGTCTGTGTCAACAAATCCAAATTACGTCCTTCACAACGATAATAAAAGCAGGTCTAGAGTTTATAGATAGTAATGAACAGACTGTGAGCAGTAAGGCTGTGATGGTGTGAACATCTGTTAATCATGTACTGGCAGGCTGGGACCAATAACACAATAACAGACCCTGATATTTATGATAAGAACATAATCATTAAGGCCTTGGTCGTTTAAACCATGATTTTGATAAGCTAAGACTGATCTAAGGTCAGTATGGAAAAAACAATAATCTTACTCATAATAATAATATTAACACAAACACACACACACACACAAACACACACACAGACGAGATTATTTTCTACATTCATTGTCCATTTCATTAGCTCCACTTACTAAAGTGGAAAAACATCTTACTCATAATAACTCATGACATAAAAAAGTCTCTGACTTTACATCTACAAGAAGGACCAACAAGATAGCAGTGTCTAATGGAGTGGACAGTAAATGGACAGTGTTTAAAAACTCCAGCAGCACTGCTGTGTCTGATCCACTCGTACCAGCACAACTGTTCTCTGTAAAGGGTGTGTTAACTTATTTACATTCAGAAAATAAACAAAACCTGGTGTTTGACCAGGGGTGCCCAAAGTTTTGCATACGATTACAGTTAATATGAATATTGCGATTATTTTGGGATATCATCACAGCCCTTGCTTTAAGTAACAACAATAAAGCCAGTCAAGTGGTTTCTTACAGTGTTATTTTCAGACATATATTTGAGAATGACTCTTTATATCTAAGCCAATCACATTAGAAAAAAATCTGACCCACAATATGAGTGTGGGAGGCGTTTCTATGTGACTCTGTTGACGGATTCTTAACATGCATGTTTTGTTAAAGTATTTTGGAGAGTGATTAGCTATGAGCTTAAGGAATGTTTATTAAGTTAAATAATGTAGACTCTCTATTGTATCCTGAATAGATGATTCTTAAAAATGCTACTACTACTACTACTAATTCTACTGCTGCTACTACTACTACTACTGCTGCTACAACTACTACTACTACTGCTGCTACTACTACAACTATTGCTGCTGCTATTAATACTACTAATACTACTACTACTGCTGCTGCTACTACAACTACTACTGCTGCTACTACAACTACTAATACTAATGCTGCTACAACTACTAATACTACTGCTGCTACTACTACAACTACTTCTACTACTGCTATTACAACTGCTACTAATACTACTGCTGCTACTACAACTATTAATACTACTACTACTACTACTGCTGCTGCTGCTACTACTACTACTAACACTACTACTGCTGCTACAATTACTGCTATTACTACTACTAATACTACTGCTGCTACTACAACTACTGCTGCTGCTATTAATACTACTACAACTACTACTTCTACTACTACTGCTGCTACTACAACTACTGCTGCTGCTATTAATACCAGAAATACTACTACTAATACTACTGCTCCTACTACAACTGCTACTACTGCTGCTGCTACTACAACTAATACTACTGCTGCTGCTGCTACTACAACTACTGCTGCTGTTATTAATACCAGAAATACTACTGCTGCTACTACTACAATTACTACTACTACTAATACTACTGCTCCTACTACAACTGCTACTACTGCTGCTGCTACTACAACTACTACTGCTGCTAATAATACATGCAAGCCTGCATAACACCATTCCACAAACAACCAGTGTAAGCCTAAAGATACATGATTATTTTAGACTTCTCATCAGAAACATTTTAAAATTAAAATGTTTTTACAGTCCTGCAATCACACGCACATTACCAGAAATAAAAAAATCCTCCTCTTCATAAAAGTTTTAAACAGTATATTATGCTATAAATAAAATATACTGGTATTAATATTGCCATAAATGCACCAGGGCAGAGGTTTGATAGCGTACAACAGCAGAACAGAAACAATCTGTAGTGTAATATTATAAAGAAGCAAGAACACAGTTTCGTTTGGATCTCTTTAATGTAAAATAGGTCTTTTGTTACTGTTTTATTAAAAGAGTGTTAAAATAATTAAAAGTAAAATGCGTTTCCCCACTTTCCTCTAAAAGATAGTAAATAAATATTTTTAAAACACCATGCTGGATCTCCTAGCTAGCCGTCTAATAGCATTAAAACATTGATCACAATCACACTTACACATACACTGTACAGGTTTGGTCCATTTGAGGCCCCAGCAAACCGCCCCCATCCCAATTTCTCTGCATTTCAACCTGCTAAATGTAAATGTAATACCCCAATATCTGTCTTCCTGGCAGGCCCAGATCATCTCCAGTTTCACTGATCATATAAAGCAATAGCACATGTATCAGTTGATTAACTTCAAAGTCCATCATCTGAAAGGTAGTCGGGAATCTCCATGGTGATTCTCCTGTGTTGTTGCTATGGTAGTGGGCATGTTTTGGCACTATGGGAATGCTGATTGTTCTGAAGCACTTTTTGGCATTGTAGTAGTAGTAGTAGTAGTAGTAGGTGCTGCAGTATGCAGGTTTCAGACATCTAAAGCCATGATATGAACAAACAGTCCAGCTGAAGGAATGACGCCTCCGCTCTTTGTGAGCAGGGGGACACGGCGATATCCTGTGGAAAAAGGAAAAGGATCTATATAAACTGAATTTCCACATGGGAATATTTGTTTCTGACATTTGCCATATTTGTGTTAGGTGTACAGGTCTGCAGTATTTTTACAAACTTTTCAAAATTTCTGCATATTGAAATGCAGAAGTGCAGTTCTAGGGAAAATTAGTCAGAATTGTGATAATTGGAACCAGACAGCTGAAGAGTTTAATGCCTCTAAAAGTGAAATGGTTATGAATACGCTGCCTGATGCCTGAAACATCGTTTTATGATAGTTTTGAGAGACTTTTTTTTTCAAATATGTAGTGTTTGTTGATAATACGTGGACAATAAGTTAATTTTGACTTAAAAAGACATAAGTAGGTTTCAGTGGTGGTTTTGGATTGTAAATAAAAATGCTTATATTGTTGTTGTAGACCCCTTTGCTAACTCCTATCACCATCACTTTAAAGCATCTAAGTTTCTCTACAATTAAACCAATAAAACCATTTTACATCAAACCACTCTGAATGACTGCTATGAAATTTTTAATTTTTTAGAAATTCAGTGGAATTCTAAGCTAAAAGCTTTAGCCTCAAGGCTCTAATAAAGGGGCTACCTCATCATGGCACATCCAGTTAAGTTTTGGGATCCATAATTTGTGTTTAAAATATTAACTAATATTTGTTCATTTGAATAATCATAAAATTTAATAAAAATCTACACTTTAAATTTTAATGCATTTCAGCCACATGTTGCAGGCACCAAAATGCATGAGCTACTTGAGGACTTCATATGTGGTAAAAACACCTAAACTAGGCATATTTTTCAAAGAGTTGATATTTTAAACTGCCTTTTTTTGTTTGTAGTTTGCGCTGACTTACCGTACTGCATGCTGGTGACAGGTAGAGTGTACTGCCCAATAAAGTCATTTGCAGAAGCAGCGTCATAGTCCTCCACTTCAAAGCGCACCATGGCCAGCTCAGGGACGTTAATAGTGAACTGAAAGTTTTTATTCCACGTTGGATTAAATCCTATGGACAGAAGACAAGTTATGAAGCATTCATCACTACAAAAATCTGGAAAACATTAAAATTGCAGATTTTGTTTGAAATATTTTTGGTGCCACTTGCCATTGTTGTTGATGTGTGGCGTCTGTTGGCTGGCTCTGTCTGCTGCAACTCCACAGATCTCCACTCTCACAAGGGGGTCCACAATAGACTTGGGTTTGTCCTTGTTCAGTTTAGGAAGCTGCTGTGCTGAGATGACCTGAAAGGACACAAGACAATTTTACATTATAGTGGTTTTCTGTCTTTAAAATTGTCGGACAGAGATACTGCACAGTGGCATCATCACTTGGCAGCTAGCATCATCTCCTGGACAAACCTCTGGGGCATTCTGGCCTAAAACTAGAGTGTAATGTTATTCATTTTAATAGTATTCTGTAGCGCAGCATTATATCCAGAACTTATATATATTTGACAGAATTTTTATTTTTATATCATTTTCAAGTTTTTGTTAATCAATGTTTACTCACTACAATACCCAAAATGCATTACACAAATACATCAGCATACAACCACTGGAAACCCCCATGTTAGCATCCAATTCTGACTGCTAGCTGCTGAGCCATGGGTGACATTAGCGTAACTTTTACCTCAGTTGCCAAACAGAATCATGAAGAAAACAGT